ACATCCTACAGCCTAAGCGGCGTTGAAGACCTGTCCGACAGCGACGAATGGCACAAAAGAGCCAAAGATCTAGTTCCGGAGCTTTGATTCAGGGTTTCGGTGGTTCATGGTAGAAACCTGCAGACTGAGTAGACTTGCTCCGCTGGAGCGCAGTGGTTTTTGTTGGCCTCGAGTCTTTAGCAGTGAGAGTCGAGGCATCCTGAGTACATATGGGGCACACAGCTACTCACACAACGAGTTTGAGGGCTCCCAATATAGTGGCCAGGGACTCCCCTAGTGTACGTTGAATCACGTGAAGGATCTGTTGGGGCCTAGGATCCCTTGTGAAAGTCTCTGGAAATCGATCTTCCTTGACTGCAGCTGTGCGGGTCCAAAGCGCGACTTCACCAGCAGCATTGAAAGCAGGGCAAGATGGAGCTAAGATTAGTATTAGTAGTAATAGTCGTAATACTTGTAATAGTAGTAATAGTGGTATTAGTAGTATTAGTAGTAATAACGAAGTAGGGCTTTCTTTCTGTTAATGGTCAGCCTTGGTACACAATCATCGAAGCTTCGTTTACACCCTTCAAGAGCCTAGCTGGTTGCTGGGAACACAGTACACAACCCCGAAACCCTCAACCCTATAAACACACCCCAAACCCTACAGACGGCTGAGCCCTAAACTCTAAACCCTGCGAAAACCCCAAACCATCCTAACCCTGAATCCCCCAACGTCTAAACCCAACCCTGGCACTCGTCCCCGCCCCTTTGTCCTGACTCGACACTGCGAGTCGAACTGAGGAAGGCCTGGATGGTCGGTCCAGTTTAGAATCGAGCTTGAGCTTTACAGTGTTTAGGGTTGAGGGTTGAGGGCTGAGGTTGGTTTTGAGTTCAGGCTTTTAGGTTTCGGGTCAAGGGTTTGGGGGAAGGTGTTGGGTCTGGACTAAGGCAGTCTCAGGGTTCTGTGAGTGCCGTGAAGCACCAAAGCGCGTAGAATGAAGTGACTTATGTGTGGGACCAGCACCACCAAGCCCAACCGAGAGGAACTGCCTGGGTAAGAAGTTCTGCGGGCCAGATATGTCCTGATGATTGACAGGGTCTCTGGCTATTCTCATCCAGCCGTTCAGCACTGGGAGCCAACATCGGAAATCAAGAAGGCCTTCAAGAGAGGATGGATTTCCGCCAACCAGGCACGGTCGTGGTTCCTGACTGATGACTCCTGGCAAAGCCCGCGGTCTTTTTTGGGATTGAGGAGAGATGCATCCAGGCAGTGAAAAGCACTGTGCCCAAGCTCGACAAAGAAGAGGTGCGTCTCGAGGTCGACGACCTGCCTCGGCTAGCCCCGCATGGGCACAATTCCCGCATCCACCTGCCGCTGGCTTCTCACCGCCTCACGAGGCCAGGAGCTGAGTTATCGGCTACCAGAGGGCAAGGTTATGTATTTATAGTAATAATGAATTAAATAATTATGGTATTAGTAAATTAGATACATCTATTTAAAAGGATCCATGCAAGGCATTTTCCTGTGCTCTGCCTTGGAGACACAAAGCAGAAGCTGAAGACGGAGGCTGCTGCCCTCCTGGGGAAAGGAGTATCTCTAGTGTTTTGCCGGGGTTGCATACTCTTGTACATCCGTGAGTCTCTGCTGAACGCTTGTTTCGACTGTGATTAGGGTTTGAGGGTTTGCTTTTTCTTTGCAGGATACCGACACACGTTCCGTAAGCAACCTATTCGGAGACTCGTCATAGACGTCGGAGCTTCGTTGCCTTTGCTCCCTGTTGACTATCTGCAGCATGCTATTTGCTATGATCCTTGCTGGGAGTCCTCGCTCAAAGCGTCTTTCGCTCGCCTCGATTTCCCTTTCTCTTGCCAGCCTTCCTGCAACCAGTCCTGAACTTCAGTCATGCCTTCTTGGGGGCTGGGTTTCGGCTTTCATCTACCGGCGTCCTTTGATGGCCGTCTTCGCAAAGTCTTTCGGTCTGGGCTCCTCTTCGAGCGATGCCGCTTTAGATTCTGCGTCCGACCTTGTGCCCTTGCCCGGTGGAGCCGCCGATGAGCTTACTTTGGCTGCCGCTCTGGCTCCGCTTGCTGTCGCCGACCTTGCTGCCCCTTGGGATCCCCTGTCTTCGTTCGCAGGGCAAGGTTGTGCCCGTTAAGCCACCACTGCTGTGAGTGAGATAGTTCCCTGAACCATGATCCCCTAAAGCTTCCAACAGGGATGTTAAGGTTTAGGCCTCGTCAACAAAGGCCCCTGCGGAGGCAAGAAGAAGCGTCTAGTATGGGTCGACCAGTATCGCACCTAACGCTTTTCTGTTTTGGGGGTCTTGCTAGAAAAGGGGGTGCGTGCGAACCTAGCAACGAGAAGGCTGAACCTATGAGTTTTTTGTTTGCGAGGCGCCATGGAGGAGATCGCAGCGATGCTGAAAGACGTGCACAGCTCAGCAGCCTCTTCGGCGCTGTGTTGCAGTATTTGGGTCGAGTGCGGGAGGCTCAGGGCCTTCAGGGTATTTCTTTGGGGTTGGACTGATCAATGCCCTGAGCAGCAGTAGCATCCACCATCATCATCTACAGTTTGCATTGCCTCACCATCATAATCATCATCATCATCAACAACAACAGCGACAGCAACAGCATCAGCATTATCATCATCGTACTGTCCATGACCACTATATCCATCATCTTAAACATATTCAACATATTCATCATCATCATCGTCATCATCATGCAGCAACAACACATCTGTTCATCATCGTCGTCATCATCATCCGCAGCAGCAGTGCCATTAGCACCATGAGCATTACCGCGCGTCAATCGCCCCCGCACCGCCATCGTCGTCTTTCACGAGAATTTGGCTGCTCGACAACTCCTCCCTGAGCTTTTCCTTAGTGGGATTAGGGTTTAGGGTTTAGGGTTTAGGGATTCAGGGTTTAGGGTTTAGGGTTTAGGGATTCAGGCTTCCGGATGCACCCGGCGTCCCGAAGGTTGAAACACACGAAAGTTCAATGCAGGCTCATCCCGTGCGCATACGAAACAATGTGTAATGATATCTCCTTACAGTCCGTATTGCCCTTAAAGAAATGTTAGGCCATGATGGTTTTCAATCCATGCAAACTTGACGATAAACTCCCTGTAGAACCCAAGAACCTCTTACCGCCCTAAGTTCCCAAAACCTAAACCCCTCGTAGGTTCCAGGGCATGAGGCTTTGAATGGGGTTTGCCCAACAAGGTGGAGTTGCTGAAGGCCTCCGTCGCAGAGGCCCATGCTTATATAGGGGCCTGAATAATTTGAATAGGGTTTTGGCGCCACGTTATACTATATTTTAATAAGGAGCCCCCAAAAAATGGCATCAGTACTATTATCTAAGCCCTGTATTGGGCTTAGGGGTCGGGAAGCCAGCGGCAAAGTATCGGAACAGAAACCCATCTTTTGAGGTTCCGATGAGCGCCCCAAACCCAACACCCTCGTCTTGGTACGTAGGTAACCTTTAACCTGTTTGGGGTACTATAACTATAACCTCTATATAACCCCAAAGGTTAACCTTTAGTTCCCCATGGTACTGGACTAGTAAGTCTTGGTTGGGGCTCCAAGTTTAGGCTTGCTTCTGTTTGGCGGATACTGGGGCGTGTTACGGGTTTGAGCGGAAATACAAAGGTTTGTGGTTTAGTTAGGATTCGAGGTGCCCTGAATCAAGGAATGGGGCTTTACAATTCGGGGTTTGCGGCTGTATGGCTTCAGGGCGATGAGAGCTTGAGCAGTGTTTGCTGTGCTACTGAGCAGGCCAGGGCTTTTGCGAAGTTTGGATTTAAAGGGCTCTGTCAAACCCCAAACCCTAGAACCCTGAGCCCTAAATCAGGGACCTCTGATGTCAGGATCCTTTTCGTAGCGTTCAGGAAGAGTCCTGATGAAGGCATCCTTGAGAGGGCCCTGGATTGTTTGCTTAATGCTTAGAGGTGACGGAGACTCGGATTTTGCGATATGGGTAGTTCGCTGAATTAGGGTCCTTCTTTAGGTTCTTAAACTAATACTGCACCCGTATAAAAAAAATATGACCCTGATTCAGAGAACTAGCCATCTGGAGGTTTAGACTTTAGCCCCTAAGCCCTAACGCCTAAGAAGGGCGAGGTCCAACGGTCGAAAAGCCATAGTTTAAGTTTTTTCAGGTTCAAGTCTTTAGGCGAGGAGCTCGCATACCTGAAGAATTGTGGGGTTTAAGGTTTGGGGCTTTAGGGTGTGTTAGGGCTCATAGGCTTTAGGGCTGTAAACCTGATAGAGCCGCTTTAAAAGCTTGTTAGGTACTTGAGAGTTGCAGGGTGTAGAGCTCGGGTTAAGACACTTCGATACCAAGCAAGTCCTACTAAGCATGCAGAACTGTCTGGTGAGGGGTTCTGGGCTTCGGTGCTTTAGGCCTGGCTCGTGACGCATTGTATCGCCGCCGCTCCTCCTGAACGACAGAGTCCCAGAGTCCCCCAAACCCCCAACCCGACTCCAAGCTCTAACCCTAAGGCTCAAAATAGCCCAAAAGCCTTAAATAGTATGGTCTTTGGGACCAAAAGCCTTAAAATATGAGTCCTTAGAGCCTAAGGGTAAGTCAATGACAGGCCCTAAACCCTGAGCCCTGCAAGCACACAAGGAGACTCATCTGTTTCGTCCAGTAGCGTGGCCATGTGGACTTATACTAAGCCAAACCGTTCAATCCCAAGTGAAGCTTCAACCTGAAATCCTTGTTCCCCAGCTCCATAAAGCCCGAGCTCCACTAGTTCCTGCTTCCCAAACCCTACAACGCCTCAGCCCGAAGCTCAGCCGCAACCCTGAACCCGAAGCGCAGACGACCTAAAAAGACTGCTAGAGAGCCCGTCTAAGAACCTTAGAGAACCTCATGGGAACCCTGAAACACTCCCTGTCACCTCCATGAGAACCGGTGTAATTAGAATTTTTTGTAGGTATCTGAAAGACGGTTCAGCCTTTGCAAGCCGCCTAAACAAGCGTTGCGAATGCGAAGAGCTCTGCCAAAGTCGCAGAGATGCTCTCCAAGGACTCCGGGGCGGATTCTAATGCGTTGTTACGTTTTACAGCGGCATTGAAAAAAGTTTTGTCTTAGGTCTTGCTTGCTTTACAGATGGAGTGTTAGAGTTTATAAGGTTTTGCCGGGAATTTAGGGGGCTCGGCCGTGATCTCCTGGCGTATCCTTTGCAATAAGTTTTCGTGTACAGACGACTACGTAAAATCAGGTTATACTCACGTAGTGTTCTTCGTTTGATTTCTAGGGCTCGTGGTTCCTGGGTTTTGAGAGGATGTTTGTGGGTGGGCTATGGACTCCCCACACGAACCCTTATGAACTGATGGAGACTTCTGGAAGCCGTCCCAAGTGGCCCAAGCATCGAAGGGCCCTGCACCCTTGAGGAAATCCACTGCGCAACAAACAAACCAAACTTCCTCAGCCCGCAGCCGCTGCCCTGTTAGGGATAAAAAGCTCTAGGCCCCGAAATTCAACAAGCTTGGGCTTTTTTTGTGGGCATTGAAAGGTTCGTGTCAACAAGCATTCCTGAATCCTACGCAGTGATGCAGCAGTCCTGAAGGATGCGCTTTCCATGGATGAGCAGGATGAGGCCGAAGAAGCCAAGGAAGGGCTTTTATTGATTAGGAACTAGGGGGTTTGGGATTTGGGGCTTGGGGTTAGGGTCTTTTCGCATTACGGCTTTAGGCTTGAGCGTTTTATGGTGTAAGCCTTAAGGGGTTGGGGGTTTGGATTCTATCTTTTTCTGCTTTGCCCTGCAGGTTGGTGCCATTGGGAAAATCAGCAGTTTAGTGTCAGAATCGAGGATGGGTTCAAGCAGTTCCCGGGGCGTCGTATATTATAAGTACCTCCGAATCAAGGCATGTGCCATGTGTTGTATAGGTACTTGCACTCTGGTGGTTCCCGGTCTCGCAGGAGACTACGTGTGATCGACTTTAGCGTTGTGTCTGAAGTTGTTGTGCCACACATCCAAATCTAAACATCTCGAAACCTTCAATTGGCTCCCTAAACCATAAACCCTATAACCCTGAAACCCGAACCCCTGAGCCCCTAGACTTCAATGGGCCCCGAAGCCCTAAATATTAAACCCTAGCCCTGAACGGTGAAACCTAGAACTTCAATGGGGCCCTGAACCCTTACGACTTCACTGGATCCCTAAACCCTGAACCCTCACACATCAAAAAACAGGGAACCCCCTAACCCTGAGCCCCGAACCCCGAAAGCAACGCGCAGACGACCAGCTTTTGGTCCTCTCTTATGCCCAAGTCGGGCGTCATGTGGAAGGAAACGGCTCGGACGCCAAGAAGCGTCTGTGGACGGACTGTAGGTTCAGGGTTTCGGGTTTTAAGTTTTGGGGATCATGCCTTGTAGGTATGTGGTGGGGGGGGTGAGGGGGGGGGGGGGGGGGGGGGGGGCTTTTGGAGCCGATAGTAGCGGCTTAGGGCTTCGAGTTTAGGGTTTTGGGGCCGTTTGCTGCGACTTGAGCTTGAGCATAAGGTGCACAGGGCGGTGGTTCGGGCTGAAGGTTGAAGGTTTTGGGGTATGCTACTATTTGCTTAAGAACCCCCAAAAAATAAAAAATATATTCCTTATGGGGGTAATATAGGGATTATTATTTTTATTTTTGGGGGTTTCTTAAGCAAATAGTAGTATGTTGGTTGGGACTGTAATATGGATCTCTGAATCCTGTAGTAGCTTATACCCATACTCTAAACTGGACATGATCCGACACCGTACAACCTGAATTCGGAGCACCCCCAACCGATAATCCTTGAACCCTAATCGTCGACCTGAACCTAAACCTAAGCCTAACCTAGAATTTTATTTCTGAGCGCCTGCAACCCCTTAAACCCCTATACCACTTAAACCCTGAACCCTAAAATCACTTGCGTCCGCGATGGCAAGTGGCCGAGCAGGTCCAAGTCCTTTGGCCATAGACTGTGTTTATCGGGAGGGAGTTTGAGATCCACAGGGACTCGACGAAGGCCAGGCTGTTGGTCACCACTTCTGACGAGGCATACGCGCCAGCGAGCGCAGCAGAGCTCAACACTAGGAACATGCTCAATAACGGCATTGGATTTGCCACGGGCGCAGATCCAAGCGTGACAAGCAGGCAGATCTATTCGATGGTGAGCGACCAGCCAGGACCTTGACGAGCTTCAGCACGAGCATGGCTTCTGAGCCACAAGTGTTCGCGGATGATGTGCTGATTGATGCCTGGTGTCTACGCCCGAAGCAAGGAGGGCTTGCGGGAGCCACTGATCCGCATGCAAAGGGGCGCAATCGTTTTCCACAACTCCAACCACACGTACGGACTTTGAGGGGTTGCGTGTGGCGCAGAACACATTCCTCCACTATACCCCAAACCCGACGGCCTTTTGCGCGCTATAAAGCCAAATCCTCAAAATCCAAACACTTCTGGAAAAGGCCCCTAAAACCCCTAAATTCTGAAAGAAGCCTTTGCAAAAAGGTCCTTAACACACACCACTCTTGAAGCAAAACAACAAACTGCTCAAAAAATAAGAAACTGTGTAAGAAAGGCCTTTAAGAACCAACACAAATCTGTTAAAAAGATAAGAAACCGTTCAAGAAAGGCCTCGAAAGAAGCGACGCCCCGAGGATCTCTGGGGCGACGTGGCCCTGGAACTGAGGAGATCTCAGCCGCTTTGGCGTCCGAGGTTTTGGGGGTTTATGGAGAGATTAGGGAGTTAGGGAGTTTAGGGTTTACAGCTTAGGGTTTAGGGTTTAGGGAGATTAGGGAGTCTATGGCGCTCTAGGGTAAGCTTTAGGGAGTTTAGGGAATTTACGGGGGAGCTTATGGAGTTTCGGGAGTCCACGGAGTTTGGGGGAGTTTATGAAGTCCAGGGAGTTTAGGGAGCTTAGGGAGCTGAGGGCGGGGAGCTTATGGAGCTTAGGGAGTCTACGGGGGCCTGGCTTCCTTTGGCCATATACGGTGTTTTTTTTTGCAAGGATTATAATTAGCGGGTTGTAGGGGTTCGGGGGGTGTTGGGGTCCAGGCTCTGACTGAGCTTGTCTTACACGGGTGGTTGTCAAAAATGATGGTCCCTCTTCGGCTCCCTAATCTAATACGGCACCTAATATTCAGGGTACCCAAACAGGGGCCATAGTTTTGACAACCACCCACATAGAGTTCGACACTCCCGAGTTCCTAAGCCTCTGCCTGGAAGCCTATGAAGCCTATGCTCTTCTCGTCCGCGGATTAAGAAGGCTAGGTTCTGTCGGGTCCGAAGATCTCAACCCCCAGAATCCCGGGAGGATCTAGAAAGTAGATCCCTAATTTGGGGCAGTATACTATTACGGGTACGTTATAGGAACCCCCATTGAGGGATCTACTTTGTGGATCCTCGCGGGGGGTCTGGGCCTTTGTTGAATCCAGTGGAAACCCCTCCACGCCACTATCCAAGCCCTAAGCCTAGACCCTGTAAAGACTTAAAGTGTCGATTCCACCCGAGGTTATTGGGCCAAGACCCTTCGGCGCATCATTCCAGGCAGCGTTTAGGATTTAGGGTTGAGGGGTGTAGGTTCAGAGTTTAGGGGTTTGGTTGTAGGTAGACTTTAGAAGCTGCCTCCATCCTGTAATAGTGACTATAAGGATTATACTAGGGCCCTATTATATTCCTAGTATACGACTATTACAGGGTGGGGGCCCCTTCTAAGGTAGACCGTTCAGGGTGGGGCACTGCAGAAGTGAGGGCTTCGTCTATAAATTCCGTCTCTTTCGAGCCTACTCTCAAAGGGGACAAGGAGGGACCCTTAATGGGGACCCCTACCCTATAATGGGCTATATAATGGGTATAATACAATTTATAATAGCTATATTAAGGGTATATGCCCAGGGGTCCTAATTAAGGGTCCCTCCTTTTACTCTTGGATGCTCTGCCTACGCTAGTCCCATGTGAAATCGGCTAGTGTAAGGGTATACCCGGAGCCCATTCCCTCGAGATCAAGGTATATGCCTTATGTTGTGGGAGGCTTCTTCGTAGCCTTTCGTTGCAGGAGGCTTCTCCATATGATTCAAAATTCGAGGTATGTTCCTCACTTAAGGGTATTGGACACTTTGAACAACTTGAGCCCTAAACAAAAAGCTCTACCAAACCTATACCTGAGAAACCGAACAACCCGTGGCAAGGCCTTGTCAAAGCCTTTATGAACTTGGGCTCGTCAAGCGGGTATTTAGGGTTAGGGTTTTGGAGCTGAGGGCTTAGGAGCCATATATGTATAGGGTATAGGGTTCAGCTATCTTCCTAGCAATGTAGGTCTACTAAAATATGTCCCGCAACCTGATGCTCTCAACCTGAATCCCGAGGAGCTTCAAGCTTAACTTATGAACCCGCAGAATAATCCCCTGTGTTGCAGGACCCTTCTTGTACCCTCAAATAGGGGTATATGGTCCCAAATAAGGGGCATTTAGGGTCTAATAGAGGGTAGATGGAGGGTCTAGGTTCTCGTTGGGCTCTTGATCTGTATAATATGATTCTCGGCCCGATAGAACCCGCATGTAATAATCAGACTGCCAGGAACCTGCATGATGAAGCTTTAGGTTCACTTCTGGGTTCTTGAACTAGGGTGTACAGAACCGGGTTTGTTCCGATACAGATTCCTTCGTGAAATGTCCCTTAACCCAAAACTCGGGGGATTCGGGCTTAGAGTTTAGCGAAGTTTAGGATTTAGGGTGATGATCGGGTTTACGAACTCCGAGTTCTCTAGGCCAGCGACAACTCCGGCGGATGTTTCAGGCTGGACAGGAAGCGTTCGGTTTCAGGACTTCGACTTAACTAGTTCGGCCGGCCGTTTCGATATGTTCTACCTAACTTTCTTGAACTTAAGAGAATCTTATTTAGGAATACTTTTCAGAGGCGTTCAGAAGGGCCAACCGAGGGAGGCAGTCGGCAGCAAAACCCGAACCTGAGACGAAGTTGTCCAGATTCTCCACTACCGTTTCGTGGTCTTTCGGATCACAGGTTCGAAGGTTTTGGGGTGTGGGCTTAAAGGGAACTCCAGAAAGTTGGAATATGGATTAATGGTAGGATCCCCTATAAATTACCTTAAAGGGGTTACGATAATGATATTCCAACTTTCTGGCTTCTACTGCAGATTATCACTATGAATACTCTTATTACTAGTGTTACTATTATGATTGTCACCATTATCTCGATTATTACTGTTATTTCTATAATTACTATGATTACTATTATTACTAGTACTACTATTATTTAGGCTTCGAGGGCTCTGGGTGGAAGCCTCGGACTGATGGACCTGCGAATGCAGAGTCCGGAAAATCTAGAAAACAGCTGTTCTCTTATAGTCCCTATATTCACAGACAAGACCGCGCAATTTACCGCCAAGAGTGCTATTCTACTTCTGAAGCGCCCATGTATTAGACTCCCTGTGGTTTAGTGGGTTAGGGTTCAGAGGACGATTTGCGTCTGTCCCCCGACAGTGACCGGCAGCAAACCCGTGTCCTCATAGTGCCTCCATCAGTTGGGACCCTGCCCTAAGGGTCCATGTACAAACATAGAGCCCCCAAAGTACCTACATACATACATACATACATATATATATATATATATATACATATATATATATACATATATATATATATATATATATATATGGTACCCCCCCCCATGTGCCTACCCTTTTCCTGTCAGGTAACTCGACTTCGAGCTCAATCAGCCTCCTGGTGTTCAGGGTCTTGGGTTTTAACGCTTCGTGAGCATCCGTCTCTCTGGCATCATGAGCATCTCATCATACGCGCGAGCGGGTCATTTAAAAATATACTGTCCTTGTCCCGGATGCGAGAAGCAGGCCTAGCACAATTCCTGCAAAATCCAAAAGTCCAAAAATCCAATATTTTCGGGGAGATGGCGGGGCGAAGTTTGGATTTTTGGGTTTTTGGAATTTTGGATTTTTGGATTTTTGGAACCGGTGTGAAATCCAAAAATCCAAAATTCCCCAAATCCAAAAATCCATACTTCACTCCGGCATCTCCTCCAAAATATTGGATTTTTGGATTTTTGGATTTACGTGGAATTGTGCCTGTTGGCAGATATAATATTGTGACATGTGAAGCGACCGTTGTCTGGCGCCGTTGTCGCGTCGTCCATGTGTATTATAATCATAGATGTGATTGATGATGAGAAAACCTGTGCGTTGAATTAACACATTGTTTTTGATCTCGCTGTTGCTGCTCATTTCGGTGGCCATTACTGTACTTATGTCCATGGAGTATCGTTTCTTACTCTGTCAGCATGCGCGGACTGGCATGAGTGTACGTCCTGCTCATTCCACATTGCGCGTATTGCCTGTTATGTCGTAGTCTTTCAAGCCTCAAGCGACAAAAGCAATCATCATTCCTTCCCTTTCGTCATGTCGTGGGAATCCGGAAACGTTGCTATGAGTGACGTTCGTAACGCAATGCGAAGCTGAAGCTGTACAACATCGATGTGCACCACATTGTCGAGTCCACAGCGGGCCCTCTCACCACCCTCGACCTGCCCTTGCTAGACTTGCCGAACAGCGGGTTCATCAAATGCTTCCTGGATGTGATCATGGATGTGCCGAGCTTTCCCTCAACCGAGATCAAGCAGATTATGCAGAGTCAGTCCTTCATGAGGTTACAAACACCTTTTGGTTTAGCGAAAGACTTGGACGTTCCTTTTCGCATCGACTTGGCCGTAATCCCACAAGACAGCGGAAAGTTCACTGTTATCAAGATCATTAACTTGAAGGACAAGAAGAACACCGTCGAGCAAGTTCGGGAACTGTGTCATGGTAGGCCTTATGCCGTCGATTGGTCCGGAAATGCAATCACCGTCAAGAAGAGCTTGCACTTCCTCTTTGAACTACTAGGTGGTTTTCAGTGTCGGCATCACGTCCTTCGTACAGAAGAAGAGGGAAAACCTGAGCAGGAACGCTCCTTGGAAGAGTGGGACTTTGGGTTCGATTTCATTGAGCAGCAAGGTCCTCGAGAAAATGTCCGCAATCGTCTTCTTCGGTGGGTCACAGTGCAGACAACAACCCGGGACTCCCCCATCTACCGCTGGCCCCAGGCACTGGTGGAGAAGAGTCTTCGTAATCTCAGCCAAGACGGCGTCCTTGCACAGGTACGTGAAATGTGGCCTCTGACTTTGTACGACTTAGACACTCGTCTCCTCAAAGCACTGGGAACTATTTTTTCATCTTTGACAGAGAAGGCACTCGGACTTCACGGCACACCCGGAGCGGGCAAGACGCCAGTCGCGAGAACCGTTGCTATGGCATTCTCTCGGTTTTGGATCACGAAATTGGGTAAGACGGACGAAATCGTTCCGTCCTTTCGGCAGGCGTCAGAGTTTGACTTCTTCCGTGGTTCCTTGATAGCATACATTTTTTCTTCGTTTTTGGGGTATGGTCGTATCGTTGTCTAACCTTGTCTACATATACGTGTATACTCCACATTGTAAGGTCAATCTGGCACGCAGACAAGACCGGACATTTTCGACGATGGCAGTCTCTGTGAACAGCCATTTAAGAAGCTCAAAGCCTTCACGGATGTTGGCAATATCGAGTCCATGTCCAAGGAACGATGGGGTGCTGCGAAGTGGGTTCGGGGTCAGACGCGGATCTACTTCTCAAACGACTTCGACGTGAAAACGGAGCCACCCTTGGACCAACCTCTTTTGGACATCGAAAAGGGCATCGCTACCTATGTGTCGCACTCTGCGTTTATGAAGAGACTGGAGAATGCGTGGTGCTCCAAGGACTGTAACGACGCCAACATCATGGCTGTTCTGAAGCGCGCGCATATCTTTGTCAACACATCCAAATGCCTCTACATCCGACCTGCCAGTGAAACCGAAGGCCCTGTGCTCAGGATTCCCCTAGGCGACAAGATTGACTTCCTTCATGTGGATTCCCGCAAAGTCTGTGATTACCATCGTAAGGGTGGGAAAGACTTGCCTCAGGACTTTGATATGAAGGTGAACGGGGAGAGAGACTGGGTTACAAAAGCTATGACAGGCGACGTGAACTTGCCCACACGTGCCACAATCATCCGCCGTGGAGGTCTTTTCCAAAGTGCTCCTTCCACGTCTACTGACTCTACCGTCGAGCAAAACCATCGTCGTGTCAAGGACCTCTTGCACCAAAGCTTCGACGCTGACATCCACACCGCCGCCGCCGTTAGTAACGTCAAACAGGAAGTGCCCACCAAGCGAGAGCTGGAGACTTCTGCCCGCGATACGTTCGCTAGCATCTGGGTTGATCCGAGATGTGCTGTTTACTTTGTTTGAGTAGGTAGTCAAATTCGCTTAAACCATGTAGACGATACTGATGTTATTGATTGCTTTTGGTTTATTTGTTTCTGAAAACTTTTCTAAATATGCACACTCAGGTAAAACGCGTCGTCTCGCGGCCGACTACGTTGGCAAAGCTATCCTCGTGGATGACTCCCCCAAGGCAGCCAAGGAGCCGGCAATCAAACAAGAACTCGTTTCGGCCTTCTCTCGCTCTTTGTCTTCCAGCAATATCGCCATCAATCTGGTGGACTCTCCCGAAAAACGCCCTCCAACGCTTGCGGCTTCCTCAGATGTGAAGCCAAGTCAAGATGATCATTTGGAAAGGGTGCTTGAAACGTTGATGGAGGCAGAGTTTGCAAACGAGGAAGCCAAAAACAATGATGCTCGTGCTGCGGAGGCTGAGGATTTCATGGACTGCTGCACAGACGACGAGAACTTCATCGACACGCACATGGACCACGCAAACAACGTGAACTGAAGGTTTCACGGTCAAAAACGTGTTTGGTGACAGTATAGGTCTCACACATTTTGCTCTCGTGTGGACTATGACATGCCTCTCGCAATTTAGTCATGTGAACAGTACACTACTTTAAAACTTCAATACATGCGAAACGAGCTTCTAGACGGCACTGTCTCCTTGACAAGCACAGCTGAGTGATGGCAACTGTCTGTCTCCGCGCGTCTGTGTTCAAAACCAAGTTTGTCCGAACGGATCCCCATGTCTGCTTGCGAGAAACATGCTATCTGTGCACATATTAACACGCATTCCCTCTGAGCGCAGGTTTGTGGCTCCTTGTCAGGCTTGTAGTTCGCGTCCTTACCCAAAGCCTCGCCAGCATGGGCAAACCCAATGGCAACTTTGTCCCGAAGAAAGGCAAGTTGCGCAAGGTGATGAAGAAACCCGCGGCATCCAAGGACACGACATGGAAATCCATTAAGTATGTCACGGAGGCGACCGAAGTTACATCACGCGGACAACGTAAAGATCAAATCAAATGGAAGCGAACACTACCCCAGCTACTCAAGGCAGACGACAAAACCATCATCAAGCTGCTCATTGCGGACAAGATCCTACCACGATTGGAAGGAAAAACATGTCTTAGGTGTTCCAACGGAGTACTGTCCAAGTTGTATGCAGACAAGAAGCGCAACAACGTCCTGAAGCACAGGTGCAACAACAAACATTGTCAAGCCCGCCTCAATCCTCATCATTTGCACCCGCTTTTCACAGAGGGACAAGGACCGCAGAAGCAGAGCTTGCAGATGCAGTCCGCCGTTCTTCTCTTGAGGCTCCTCAATGTCCCACAATCTGTCATTCACCTCGCCATGGGTACGAACCACAAGGCGGTGGAGGACTTGGAAACTGATTGTTTATAGTATTCATGTTTTCTTAGGTTTTTTATTGTTTTTATTTAAGACTTTAGTTCTTAACTTTACAAGATTTTAGCATAACGTAAGTTTTTTACAACCGCGTTCATCACTAGTCTCCTCATAAATTTGCTTTGCTCACTTAGGACAAACGACTTTGCAAGCTTCGGAAAGACTTCGTTGAGAAGAAGGAAAAGAACATCGTTTTTGGCAACCAGAAAACGTGGGTGGACGTTGAGGCAGACGAGGCAACGTTCGACAAGAGAGACATCGCTCAAGATGCTGCTTTGAAACATTTGGTCACCAAAAAGAACGAGTCCATCATGTGGGAGCAGTGGGGTGGTGTCATTCAACGTGGCCGCCCTCGTAGTTTGGTGTTGCGAAAGCTAATCCCAAAGCTTACGGTGAAACGAGCACCAGGCCCAGGTGCCATCCGTAAGACAGAATGGAACACCATTGCGAACGAACTCCTCCTGGACCGCAAAGTGATCCTTCATACGGACTCAGCGAAAAGTTACAAAGCCAAAGTTCGGGGAGTTTTGCACGACAAAGTCGTACACTGTAAAAAACGGGTGAAGGTGAACGGCAAGTTCAGGTGGTTGAACCCCAAGTACGTCGGCATCGTGACCCACAAGATCCCTGGTACTGAGAAGAAGCAGAAAGTGAAGTCAGGGACTCAAGGCGGTTTCTGAAGGATCGTATCGCCATGAACCAACACTGCAAAGCAGGCTCGTCGTTGTTACGTGCCAAGCTCCGCTCGGCGCAGTATGAGTATTGGTTCAAGAACCAAGACCTCTGGCTCGCCTGCGGAGACTTGTGCACAGAGGTCCTGGACAAATTTTACAAGTAAAGACTCACTGTAGAGCGTCCTATGCCTGCGTCGCGACATCGCTTGAAAATCTTGGCTTTTGACAGTGCCGTCGTTTCTTTATGTTTTATATCTTTTATATTTCGTGAACAACAAAGGTGTTAGTGATGAAAATGATGGTGGTGATGCTGGTGATGGCGACGATGCGGATTATTGATGTTGCTGTGTTTTTTTAACAAGACTATTCTTATAGCTTACGTCAGCATGCATGCTTTTGTTGTCGCTATGTGTATGCATGTTTTCTCATTCAAGCACATATCTCAATTCATCGCTTCTTTGCAGTTTTCCGGCACAAGACGCTTTTCCTTGTCTCCACAGCCATGTCTGCGCCTTTCGTTCGCAAGCTGCCCATGGATGTCGCAGCACTCATCTTCCAATTTGGCGAGCGGTTCTTGGGGCCGATCCCATCCGCACCCACTCAGTGGGAAGTGCGCGTTGGTACCCTCCCGAATGGCCGCCCGTCAAACCACAGCAATATATGTCGTGAGTTTTGGCTATTTGCATATGTCTCGCACATGCCAGCACGTGCTGAAAAAGTAGTTCCACTCATCAGGTGATGTGGTATATCGGCTCGGCGACCTCTTCTACAAGTCCACGCCGAACGGCGATAAGGAACCGACAGCAGATGATATGTTTTCCTACTGGTTGGATTAGCCGGCACTCGCGTCAAAACCGTGATCGTGTGCAAGTACGTTCTGCCTGCATCGTGAGCATCAGGCATGATTGCATTGCAGTAGCTTACGTGCAGGCCTGCTGGGCTCAATTGCTTGCTTTATCATGCTGCCTCATTTGTCAATTGCTTCGAGTATGTATGGTATCACACAAGGAAGAGACCCAATAGAAACAGGGTAGAAGTTCGCGCCATGGCGACGGCCTCAGCACGAAGCAACACGGTTCCTGAAGCGGTTTCAGACGTTGTTCATCTCATGTATTTCATGTTTCTTCATATCGGAATACAAACAAACATAACACAGACATGGTAGGCGCATGGGGGGGGGTGTAGCATATATATGTATATATATATATATATATATGTATATATGTATATATATATATATATATGCATATAGGGACTACATTAATTAAGGCCAATGTATATACTATATGGGTACATGGACCCTTAGGGCTGGGGCTTTCCTCAGGCATACGCCCAGCTGAGATAGACGGCAAAGCATGCTCGAAGACGCGGGATCCAAGGGCCTCCGAATGCTCGACATCATCAGGATCGAGAACTGCACTGAGAGCTAGAGCTAGCAAGTACCAACTCATTCCAAACCTCACCGAACCTCTGCCGGAAGAGGTGGAGCCGTGGGATGTCTATGCACGCATTGCGGTTATGTAAGTGCTGACGATAAACCTTGGAAGCCCGAGAATTAAAGCCCTGAGCAGTTGGGCCGCCGGGTTTGGGTTTAGGGATGGTTAGAGCTTACCTCAACCCTGAAGAACCTACCTTTTTAGGATTCCTTATTACGTTTTCCTTATATAAGTCCTTAAAAAACGTAGGGTATTCTGGCTTAAGGTTAGGTTTATAGTAGCTATGTAAGGATGTATGTTCAGAGTTTGTTCGCATCATCTTGTTGTACGAGTTTCATTCGTGTTAAGAAGTTCGCCGAGTTCTCGGGTTTTAGCGCTTGACGGCTACCCAGAGGCTCCATAATAGTTCCTTTTTGGGATTACCATATCGACTTCTAAATATGAACCCCAAAGAGGAACTACTATGGAGCCTTATGGGTGAGGCTTGAGCATGCTTAGGTTTGCAGCGGTAGCCTGGAGGATCCAAGCACCTGCTAATTATCTTGAAGCATATGATTACCTTAGCCTACCAAACCCTACTTTTTTGTAGGTTCTTATTATGAACCTTAATATGGAATTTATAGGGACCCTACTTTTTGTAGGGTTTGGTAGGTTAAGGTAGGGCTCTTTCTGCCCGAAACTTAATCCCTTTGTTGAGTGTGCTGATTATAAGCCACAGCGCGCTGTGTTTGAAACCGTTGTTGTTGAAGGGTCTGCTGAGGGTTGACTTGTCGGTTCAGGGGTTGCTGATCTAGGATGACGGATCTTATAAAGGGGTCTGGTACCCCCTAGTTTCCCTGGGCAAGTATTGTGCGCTTTCCCTCAAAACAGCACTTCATAAGAACCTGTGGCTGCAGTTCCCTGAGGCGTAGTTGTAAGGTGCCCCCCTACACCGGGTGATTCATGGTGTGCGGCTGCCACGTTTACGTTTACATCGTGCGGTACTTCACGAGATGACCACTATGGGCTAGTAGACATTATGGGTACCTTAATCTACCCTTGATAGGGTCTTAATAGGGATCTTTAGAGTCTAATAGCCCATAGTGGGAATGAAGTAGGGCTTTTAGGGCAGGTAAGTGGCTTAGGGCCGCATCCAGAACGAGCTCATGGTGCAGGTTCATACATGGGTGGTTGTCAAAATTATGGTCCCGTTTTAGGTCCCTGTTATAATACGGCACCTAGTATTTGGGGTACCCGAACAGCGACCATAATTTTGACAACCACCCACATGTTTTATTTCAAGGCCTTGTAGGACTGGTTCAAGAGTTTCGCATTAGGCAATCCTCAAACGCCTAAGTCCTTGACGCTGAAACCCTGAACCCCAAACCCTAAACCCCAACGGTTAATCCTAAACCCAGCACTATCCATCCAAACTTCCTTCCCTGCCCTACAACCTACAGCCCGAATCCCAAACACCAAAACAAAAATCTACAGCCCCAAGACCTTGAGGCCACGCCTTCCTGAGGCCTCTAAACGCCTCAAGCCCCAAACCCGAAGCCCCGTAGCTTAGGCGCCCTAAAGTTCCCAAGAGCCCCGAAACTCCGGAGCTCTAGCTATGGTCTCCATTGTAGTTCCTTTTTTGGTTTAACCAAAAATATATAATTAGGATCCTATAAGGTAACCCCGAAAAAGAACTACAATGGAGACTCTAGGAAGTCTCGGAGGCTTCTCGCTGTTGCGGCCTCATCGGGCGCCGTCGCCCTATTCTGGGCCGGTGGGTGGCCGCTTCCGGAGACGTGATCCGAGGCCGGGCATACTGGGATTCCAAAACTTGGTTGGGGTTTTCCAGAGGGCGCAGTAGGCAGTTTAAGTTTAGGGATTAGGGCTAGCGGTTTGAGGTTTGGGGTTCAGGATTCAGGTGGGTTCAGGATTGTGCTGTTTTGCGGTTTCGATAGAGATCAACAGCTTGTTTGAGCTACTTCCTTTAAGGGGCTTAGTATGAGAGGACTAGGTACATTGCGCTGTCTATGGCTGACTCTGAGGATTTGGGGAATTCAAGGAGCTCTGCAAGCCCTACAAACTCGTCTTTGCTGTTGGGTGCTCGATTGCTTTATTTTTGCGGTTTATTGTCCACCCATAGTCTTGTTCAAAGAATCTCCAGAACACATGTGTGCTTAATAGGCCTTGCTAATTACACAAGTATATGATATACATACGCATATGTAGATAGGTTATGTATACCTATATATTTGTATATATATATATATATACACACGTATGTATACATGTATATATGGAGATGTATACATACACATCCTTTTGTGCTTGCCTTCTAAAGGGAGCGGAGTTTCTAAGTTCATGCCGTGAAGAGTAGCCCAAAGCCCCTTGGCTCTCAAGCGATGAACGTGAAGCAACTACCATATTAACGTGAAGGATCCGTGGCTTCTCCAAATGCCGATAAGCCATACTTGCCGGACCCACAGCCACAAATTTACGGTGCTTTCTATGGGTGATACATATTCAGAAAAGGCCAAGGCAGATCATCGGGGGGATTATTTATGTATATATATATATATGTATACACATATTGTATATATATATATATATATATATATATATATATGCATGCACCTGTCTCTCTCACTCTCTCTCTCTCTCTCTCTCTCTCTCTCTCTCTCTCTCTCTCTCTCTCTCTCTCTGTCTCCGGCTATCTATCTATTGTCGTTAGAAAACCCGAGCCCTTGCAGAACTCTTGTAGAAACCTTCAAGGACCTTGTAGAACCAAGTCTGGAACCCCAATCCCTAAAACCTGAAACCGCGAAGCCCCATGGACCCTTTCTAACCCAGAGACTCCAGCATCCCTTAATTATGGAACATTCCTTCAATCATGTTAGGATCCTGGAAAAATATTTAGGTATACTCCGTAAGTCAGGCATATCGGAGTGACTGGGTAACCCCAAACCCCATAGATCCCTTACCGGAACCCTTAATTTTGCAACATTCCTTCAATCATGTTAGGATCCTGCTAAATATTAAGGTATACTCCGTAAGTCAGGCATATTGGAGTCTCTGGGTAACCCCAAACCTCATAGATCCCTTATCGGAACCCGTAAATTAAGGAAACCTTTATAGATCCTCAGCAACCTACTCTTTCGCTAACTGGAGCCCTCGGGTACCCCCATAAGGATCGAGCGCGACATCCAGAAGCGCCGAGAGCGGGCCTTTCGGGGCGGGGACGTGAGTCTCGGCCGTGCGCCCCTGGGCTGAACGATAGTATATTAAAAAAAATATTCAGCCGACATACACTCTAGTATTATGTAGCATAGTACAGTCTAATGTACTATATAATATAGTACATTAGACTAGACTACAGTACATAATACTAGAGTGTATGTCGGCTGATTATTTTTACGAATACGACAAAACCGGGCCCTGAGGGTGACGCTTTCTGTAATACTAGAAAGTACTGTACGGTATTCTACTACAAGAAGTATTGGCTTGTCTTGGAGCAAGTGCACAAGTAGCTCATTCATTGCTACCGCTGCATGGTCTACTGGGGCAGCGCTGCGCCACTGTTTTCAGGGGTTTAGGGTTGAGGGTTCATGTTATGCATGAGGTAGGGTGCAGAACTTATCGTAGCCGAAGGTTTGCACCGAGGTGCAGAATCTTCACAGAGAGTGTACCTTGCAACCCAAGAACCTTAGACCCTAAACCTTTAAAGACTCGGTTTCAGGTTCATCGAGATGCACATGCCTGCCTCGGTCGTCTTGCGCGAGGCTCACTAAACTGCTTCCCTTCCTCTATGCCACGACGTGTTGGGGGCGCGAGGGCGAGTTTGGGTTTATTGTGGAAAGCCAAGACTGTGAGACATAAAGTCGCCTGCATTCATAGTAATGCAGAAAAGTGCCACAGAGAAGGCAACGAGGTTAACAATTACTATGTGAGAATGATAGCAGCAGCAGTAGCAGCAGCAGCAGCAGCAGTAGCAGTAGCAGTAGCAGTAGCAGTAGCAGTAGCAGTAGCAGTAGCAGTAGCAGTAGCAGTAGCAGAGTAGTAGTAGTAGTAGTAGTAGTAGTAGTAGTAGTAGTAGTAGTAGTAGTAGTAGTAGCAGGCCGAGGAGCAGCAAGGGCACACTGGGTGCACGAGTTTCAACATCGTTTGTCAATGCATGTCCTGCTTCAGAACACAAGCACTAACATAAAGACCTTTCTAGTCAGCATAGGGTCTATAGGGGTTATTCTAGTGTTCTTACAAAAGGAACCCTCAGGAATAGATGTACTGATGATTCAGGAGTCTAGACCACGTACACTTAATCTGTTCTCCGAAAGATGCAGGCACCCAGAATTGTACTAACTACGCCCGAACCAGCAAATGCTCAGCTACTCAAGCCCTGAACCCTCTAAGCCCGGAACTCTTAACATTCTGCCCCAAAGTGATACCACCTCCTTGTCCTTGCTCAAACAAAAAGCAGCATGACCTCCCGTGCCAAAAGCACGCGACAAGCCCATGGTTTAGGGTCCATAGGCCCTCAACCATACCCCCTGCAAGCCCTAACCCTACAAAGCCTACACCCTACAAACCCTAAACACTACAAACCCAAAGCCGCAAACCCTACACCCCAAACCCTACAGTCGGCAAGGCTCAAATCTGGGTGGGGCCTAGGCCGGGGTTTGGCACCTTACTCTGCCCTGCTCTGCCCTTCCCCCAAACCCTACAAACTTGAAGCCCTACCTATGGTCTCCACTGTAGTTCCTTTTTCTGGTTTAACCAAATATGTAATTCGGATCCTATAAGGTAACACCAAAAAGGAACTACAATGGAGACTATAGGTAGAAACCTCGAGCAGGATATAGTTCGGGCCGATGCAGCCCAGCATGCAGCCACGGAGCTCATAAAAAGCAGCTCGGCCCAGAAGTGGAGTTTGGCGATTACGGGTTTAAGGCCTGCGAGGCTTTAGGGATTAGGGTTCAGGGCTTAACACTTCTGGGGTTCAGGGCTGTCTGCTGTGTTACATTTTGGGTTTTTCTCGAGAGTTGGAGTTTGATGGTTTGTTTTCGGAGCAGGACGGCTCCACCTGGAGGGTTCCGAGTGCGCCCTCGAAGCCTGGATGTATCTATGTGGGAGTTTCCGAAAATTAGGGGTACCATATTTGGAGGTCCTTGTACAGTAGTATGGATCCCCTGGTTTCGGAAACTCCCATGTGCCGCCTACCTCGCTCTGCCTGCCTAAGTGCATGCAAGCCCATCCAGCTGCTTGTTTACTCACCTCATTACACCAGTTACACTGTAAAACAATTACCACCAAAACCTTAACCGGCTGCAGAGCTCGGGGTTTTAGGGCGGTGTCGAGATCGCGGTTTCGGCTATGGAGTTCGGGGCTCTGCGCCATTCCCAGGAACTCGGCAACAGTTTATACCTAATCCGAAACCCCCTTGAATCCTAAACCATAAACCATAAATCGTGAATCATACCCAACGTTTGGGACCTTCTTGACGACGTCTTGCTCAGAAGTTCAAGCACGCACCGAAAACTTAGCATCAGGCCTGAAGCACACGGGGTCTCATGCCAGCATTGCAACTTATCGCAGCTTGCGCACTTTTAAGCGAGAGTCATCCTCATCATCGTCTTCGCAGGTCCTAAGCTGTCTGGCTGGTGTGCTTTCAGTGGGCATGGCAGACACCCCGCCTGCGTCGGGAGAAGCGGCCCCAGCCCCCAAGTGCGGATGCAAAGCCTGGGCTCCAAGCAAGTTTCAGAGGTTCCTCGTTGACTTGGTTTTCACTGCGGTTCTCAACTTGGCAGACTTCGTGTCGGACTGGTTCGTGATTCTGCAATACGGGTGCTTGCTGCCTTCCAGCCTACATACCGGATGTGGCGCAGCCGAGGGGCCAGCAAGCGGGATCTGTGAGCCCCACCCCTGGTGGCTTGGAATTGGTGTGACAATGTTGACCGTCTCCAACCTGGTGCAAGGTGTTGCATGGCTGGTAGGCAATCTAGGTGCTCTGAAGGGCGTATACGGCGACGAGCCAACAATGTGTGGAGCGCTCGCGCTGTTTATGCTGGCATTACTCCAGCTCCACTATGCCGTCGACATCGTGATGGCCATACGTGAAGGGGTACCGGATGACGATGAAGAGCGCCTTGCAGGTCTGGCTGCAAGAGACCTTTGCACAAAGGTTTTCGAGAGTACGCCGCAAATGTATTTTCAAGCGTACATCCTCTTCATCTTATCAGCGCATAGCGAGCCCCTTAAGATCGCCTCAGTCCTCCTCTCAGTCTGTTCATTAAGCCACGGAGTCCTCAAGTTCTGCATCTTTAGGGCTAAATCTGTCCGTGCCAATAAAAGGGCTAAAGCTACGAAATCTGGCGATGAAGTCGAAGTCTCCGACGTCATAGCACTCTCAAAGACCACCTTCCGGATTGTGGCCTTCCTGCACCTGGCCTCAGACCAGGCCATGCGAACAGCAGGAATTGCCCTGGTTTTGTCTTCAGAGGTCCGGCCCTACGGCATCCTGCTACTCGTCGTGGCCGTGCTCACGACCTGCGGGGTCTACGTTTGGACGATGACGGAGTGCAGCAAGGGCTGTGGGGAGAAGATTGGCTTTGGGTTGGTGGCCTTCTTTACGGCTTACCTCATTCCGATACTGTTCCCGGGTGGGTTTCATGAGACGGGTGAGGCCAGAATAGACCTTGCCACACGGCGCTGCTTGATCCCGCGATGGATCGAGACAGCAGGCTGTGCCCTCTTGGCCTTCCTCTTGGCAAAGACCAAGTGTGGCCACACACCAGTCTTTGAGGTAGCTGGGCTGCTGGGCCTGCTGGTCTTCAACATTCTATGTTACGTCCTCATGCGCACCTGCTTCGACTGCAAGACCGGTGACTTCACGTGCTTCCAGCACAGCACGCCGGAAACTTAGAGGTAGAGTAGGCGCAGAACCTTTTGCCTTTTTGGGGGAGTATTTCAGCCCTTGTAGAATCCCAAAGGATTAACCTTTAGTTCCCCGAGGATACTGGACAAGTAAGGAAAAGATTAGAAGGGGCCCCCACCCTGTAATAGTGGTATAATAGGAATAGAAGAGGGCCCTAATATAATCCTTATAGTCACGATTACAGGGTGGGGGCCCCTTCTAAGGAAACGAAGATTCGCAGAAAGGACATCGAAAGCGATAGCGGGGCGGAGGTCTCCGGCTGGTCTACTGGTCCTCAGGCCGGTAGCCCCTCGCGAGTGGCGTAGAGCCCCCTTGGAGCCAGGGTTTCCAATGTTATATAGTATACCATAGCATACTTCATACATATGTAACTATACATATGTATATGTATATATGTACAGTAGACTAGACGATTCGGCTATAACATGTAGTATAGTATCCTATTCCTTGGTTACTTCTACTTATGTTGCAAAGCTCACCTACGAAGGGAGGTAGATCTTGAAAGCTTATACCTTACTTTACCCCCCCAAAAAAATGTTGGAGCCGCCATGTTAGCCGCTACACACAGGCCCAGACTTCCCCTACCTTCAGGACCCACAGTAAGCCCTTATTCCCTTTTATACAACCCCCTTTATAAACCAAAAAGGGCACCCTTTTTGAATCCTGGGTTACTCTTAGGTCTAGACCTTGAGGACCTGCAAGAGCTCGCCAGAGGATCCGAAGCAGCGGATGCTCCAACCACCGGCCCGGAGAGTCGCGAAGGACTGGAAGTGGGCTTACGAAACGCTTCGAATTTATTTTGAGGCTCATGAATTATACTATATATATCTATATACTATAACTACAAGGACCCCGCCCAAGAAATAGTATTCGTAAATGTGCAGTGTGCAGCAGAAAGATAGCAGCTTGACGCGAGCTTTTGCACACATGGAACATGGAGCGGCGGGGCTGGGATCTGATCACCGAGGCGATGCGGCCTCTGCGGAAGAAGTCATCTCAGACTACGGCCAGGCGAACGCGAACGCAGCGCTGGAGCTGCCAGGTTCTGCCCGTCATGACGGCTACGGTTGATGATACAAATCCTGCATTACCTTAAGGACCCTATATAAACTATAGGACTTATGGTATATTCCTGAATAAGGCAGGATTTATATCATCAACCGTAGTACGACAGGAAGTGGCGAAATGTGAATGGAAAAAAATCCGGCTAGAAGGGCGCAGCCAGGTCCGTGAGGCTAGATTGGGGTTCGAACATTAGGGGTACCTTATTCAGGGCAACACAGAAGGGGGCAACACTTTGGAAAGGCAAGACCCGACCCTTCGCCCGAAGTTCGTCGAACCCCGCCGGCGTTCGCCGAACCCTCGCCGAACACCTCCCCTCCTTCGAACCTTTATTATTAAATTCTAATATTATTAATATTAATTAATACTAATAATACTAATAATAACTAATTAATATTCATTTAATTATAATTAATATTAATATTAATATCAATAATACGAATACTAATATAATACTAATAATACTAATACTAATATAATAATACTACTAATAATAACTACTAATACTAATATTAATGCTAATACTAATTTGTTTAATACTAATACTAATTAAATCCTAATACTAATGTTACATAAATTATTATTATACTTAAATTTATTTAAATACTAGTACTTATGATACTGATATTTCAATATAATTTGTAACAACAGAACTAATAATACTAATACACTAATTAAATTAGTAATTAAATATTACTAATACTAGTATTATTAATGATGTATTAAATACAAATATTTATTAAGTCTCATATTAATAATTTTAGTAATATTTATATTCAAAAAATACAAAGGTGAAATTACAATGAATGTGAAAAACTAATAAACTAAAAAGTATTAGCAATAATGTGCATACTTTAACCTTATCACGAATGGCTCATAGTATAATAGATTTGCATTCGAAGCCTGAATGGCTTGTATTCTTAGTCATAGATGAATAATATGGGAACCCTGTCATGAACAATTAACTTGCAGAATACTTGTTAGTGTGCTGTTCAGAGTTACTAATTGATAATCAATGTCCATACAGGCCATTGTCAATAAAGTATATTGTTTGTTAGCTATTTCTTATTATTCAATTTGTGATACTATCGCTAGTGGTAACAATTTAAACAATAATTTTTAAATAACTCATCATCAGCACACTATTTCTCACAGGGGCCTGCCTATCACCGGTACGATCCCAATTCATATTCTAATAGTATCAATAATAAAAAAACTCAGTTTCCTGATTGCTTAATTTGGACGTAGAACATGTGTGTCCTGGATATGCATCTATTTTCTTTGAGTGGTTCTGTATAATAATTAAGCAGCTTTATGAACTTGTGTATGATATGATGTCAACACTAATAAAAACATACTGCCGTATAAGTGATGAATAATTAAATACACACTTTGACTTAGCTAGATTATTCGTGGTTTTGCCTGTTGTAACACTGAATACTGGCTAACAAGAACAATAGTACTATTTTATAATCAGCAGGTTTCAGCAAGATTGAGTACAATAATATCACGATCATCCCTCTGCTTGTAACCAGAAAGAATAAACAACAGTTGAGTCGAAAGAACAAACTTGACAATAGTGTAGCCAGAGGCTTAGGCAATTACATTGTTACTAACTGTTAGCAGCATAAAGAATGTAGTTAATAGCAACAACAAATATGAACACATATAGATACTCACCATCATCATCGTCATCATAATCATGCGTGCTGCTGTGTCTTTTTGTTTTGGGAAGGGGGGAAGGTTCAGTCAGGGCAAGACTTCGGCTTCGCTGCAGTTGGGAGGGTTTGGGGTTTGCGAGTCTTGCAGGGTTTGGCCAGAGTCCATTGTAAGAACCCTATTCCCAAAGACCCGAAAGAAAAGAAACCAACCCCACCATGCAGCCCTCCTGAAGCCGCAAGCCCAGCCCAAGCAAGAGAGCATTCACGTCTTGGACAAGATCATGGTGATGCTGGGAGCCCGGGCAAAGTACTCAGTGAGGGTTTCCGGGGGAGCGCCTAAGGATTCGGGTTAGGAGTTAATGGGCCGACCGTGAGGTCGTGCCCGGGTCTAGGAGTAAGATTTACGCTAGCCGGGTCGACCGGGAGGTCGCGCCCGTTTTTGCAAGACGTCCATCGGACGCCGGCCGTGAGGTCGTAAGAACAGCGGCGGGGAAGCCGAGTCGTAATACGGCAAGAATTAGCAAGACGTCCATTTGGACGCCGGCCGTGAGGTCGTACGAGTAAGAGATAGCAAAGTCACTATATGGAGAGACGGTAGGGAGTAAGGTGTAAGATCAACAGACGTCCATAGGATGCCGACCGGGCGGTCGCAAGATTAGAAAGGAGGGTCAATGCAGAGTAAGATTATTCTTCCAGCAAGCAACTAGTTACGTCGTATTGAACTGATATTATTGGCCATTGGTTGATGGTTGTTGGGTTGAGTAGTCAGTGTTACAGTGTATAATAAGACTGTGATGTGTTTCTTGATGTGGGAATTTCAGGGCAAGACCTAACCCTGCCGAGAGCGTAAGAACCGATGACGAACGCCCCCTGATAAATACGGAGCTTCCGCAAGCTTTGAATGTAAGTCGTACGTGTAAACCGAACCACCCTCTCCCGCGCAAGATTCCGATTTGCTAGCTGCCCGAAGCCATCAGACTTGAACTCTGCCTGACCTCAGACCCAACTCCGAGCCCTAAACCGCGACCAATCTCCAAACAGGCAAGAACATTTGTAAAAAATGTTAGACATTAGTTAGAGACTTGCCCAAGGCAATCAATCAATATACAAAATTCAAATCAATTAATAATAATATACAAAATTCATGCTAAGTGAATTGCCAGATTGACTACCGAGGCCAGACCTCCGCATGCCTCGTCGTGCCAGCTTTCTAGCAGGAGGAGACCCGGGTGGTTTGGTTTTCTGCAGTGGGCTTTTGATCAGATCAATAATCGAATCAGCGGTTGTTGACCATTTGTCAGATTTGGCTTCACGTCAAGGGTGAATTGAGTCAGCAAGAACAGTGCGTCCGCAGTTGACCAGGTTGTCTCAGTCAGACTCAGAAGCATAATTAATTAATTATATTTTTTACAACGTAGAGTGAGTGAAGACGAGTAGACACTGACACGTAGTAGCTCCGCTTCCATGGCTGACCAGTGGCAAGATCAGCAGTGGAATGACCGTGCCACGCGGTGGAATGAGTGGCAAGATGACCAGTGGCGGTGGAATGAGTGGCAAGATGAGCAGTGGCGGTGGAATGAGTGGCAAGATGAGCAGTGGCAAGATCAGCAGTGGAATGACCGTGCCACGCAGTGGAATGAACACCGGCACTGGCCCGAGCAGCAGGGGGGCGACGAGGACCGGAGCAAGAAGAAGAAGAAGAAAAAAAAAGGGGGAAGGCGCCGTACTCCGACACACGCTTAAACGGTTTGGCGTGACTTGGCATCTTGATAATAAAACTAACCTTTAAGACTTACTTGTTAAAGATTAGTATTATATTATTCAGTCGTCACATCCATGGCTGGACTCAGGTAGTTGGCACGCAAGAGTTATATTGCAGGCAACGAGCTGCACGGCAAGAGGTCCTCAACAAAGCCAAGGCTCCTCAAGTGGTCGTGGCCAGATGTAAAGCAGAGCCAAGCAGACCACTCGTGGCCAGATGTAAAGCAGAGCCAAGCAGACCAGAGGACAGACCAGAGCCCGTGGAGCCACAATCAACTTCGCCAGCACAGGTGAACATGCCTTCCCAGCCTCTGCCTGAGCCAGAGCCTGCGGCATTGCCCCGCCAGCCAATTGGCCCACCCGTCAGCTTTGGCCCCCCAGCAAGGCCGCAGCCAGAACAAGCACTGAAGCCACAAGCAAGTCAAGCCACAGCCGCAGCAAGTCCAAGGAGACCACCTGAGAGCCTTTTAAACCCAAGGCATTCAGCAAGACCAGACATGCCAATGCCACGAGCAAGTCCAGCCACAGCCGCAGCAAGCCCACCACCAGCAGGGCTGCAGCACCAAGCCCAAGCCCCGCTAACTCCGCGGCCAAAAGGACGGCCAATGCAAATAACTGAGCCAGCACAGCAACAGCAAGAGCAGCAGGTCCAACAAGCCCCGCCAACTCCTCAGACTCCCCCCCCTCCTCGCAGCGGCCGCAGCAAGTGGCACAGCCACGGCAACAGCAACCAGCCCCACAAACTTCAGCTGCACAAACTCAGCAAGGGCTTCTAGCAGCACCGCCGCAGGTCCCAGAAATGCCGCCACCGCGGTGGCAGCCGTTGCGACAGCAGCTGCAGCAGGGAGCCCCGCCGCAGCAAGAGCAGCCGGCACCCGTGAGCCAGCCGCCGCTCAACCGTCAGCAACAGCCGCTACAGCAGAGAACATCACAGCAAGAGCAGCCCGCGCCCGTGAACCAGCCGCTCAACCCTCGGCAAGAGCCGCTGCAGCAGAGAGCCCCGCCGCAGCAAGAGCAGCAGCCGCTCAACCCTCAGCAACAGCCACTGCAGCAGAGAGCAAGACCGCAGCAAGAGCCAGCGCCCGTGAGCCAGCCTCTGAACCCGTTGAACGTGCCATTCGGCTTTCCGATGCCGCCGCTGGCGAATCCGTTGCTGCCGCCGCCACCGCTGCCGTTGCCGGTTGTTCAAGGGCAAGAAGTGGGTGAGCAGATGGCTTCGCTGCTCAAGGTTACGACAGCAATGCTGCTACTCAACCGCAATTTGCATGTGTGTGATGGTTCGGTATGTGTAATTTCAATCAGTAGCATCATGGAGTGGTAGTAGTAGGACTAGTACTAGTACTAGCACTAGTAGTAGATTTAGTTAGTTGTGGTTGTAGTTGTAGTTAAAGTAGCAGTAGCAGTAGCAGTAGTAGCTTTAAGTAGCAGTAGTAGTAGTAGTAGTAGTAGTAGTAGTAGTAGTAGTAGTAGTAGTAGTCGTAGTCGTAGTCGTAGTCGTAGTCGTCGTAGTAGTAGTAGTAGTAGTAGTAGTAGTAGTAGTAGTAGTCGTACTAGTACT